TGTATATATATATATATATATACACGAAAATGTCTAATGTAAATGCAAATACGTGGTCATCACACATACTACACTAATCTCATAAACTTTTTCTTTTTTGGGGTATCTGCAGCAAAAGAAATTTGTTTCTCTTTTTTTGTGATTCATATTTTGATAAAATTATCTGCTTCAGTAATCTCCCTAATCTCAACCAGTTTTTCTGAACGTGCTGAATTAATTTATTTAAAAAATTTCAGCCTCTTTTCATAAACAGAAGTTGAACAAATTTTCATTAAAAAAACCCATCTTTTTTGTAGCTTAAATTTTAGGTTTAATTCCAAGCTGACACCTTAAATTTAATATTCCCAGTAAGCAAAATATTTTTGTGTTTTTTCAAACCGAATCTACATTAACTAGAATCATTTTCCCTACCAGTAAATTCTATAAATCCGTATATATCGACAGATGTATCAGCAAAAAATAATTACCTTTAAAAAAAAAAAATGAAATATAATTTTCTGAAAGGTTATTTTGAGAAACATTAACTGGTTTTAAGTTTAATTAATAGGAGTTGAAACATATATTACATTTAGCATAAATTATAACAGAATTATTTAACACAGAAAGTTGATTACTGACGTGTCAAGAACTGACAACTTGATGTCAGGTAAATTTAAATAAGGTGAACAGAACTGACAGAAATTACTTGAAGACAGTGACAACGCCTTTTATATGGTGTTTTTAAGCAACTAAATCTTACTTATTATAAAACGCAGATTGTGTGTGTGTGTGTGTGTGTGTGTGTGTGTGTGTGTGTGTGTGTGTGTACGTTTATATATTGGATCGGATTTCCTACATTTTTCAACCGATTTCAACAAAACTTCACAGGACTGCGTAAAATTAACTTGCGGTGGTTCTGACAGCGCCAAAAATTGGAAAAACACAATTGTTTTTGCATGAAATCAATTTGAAAACACGATAAAACACGATTCTGTCGCCAGAATGAAAGGGGGACAACTCTTATCGAGTTATACTTATTATAAAACCCAGGTTGTTTGTGTGTGTGTGTGTGTGTGTTCTTTTATATATGGGATCGGATTTCCTTACATTTTCAAACCGATTTCAACAAAACTTCACTTTTTTTTTGGCAGGTAGTGTTTCTTATTGTCTTAGACACTTTTTTCTTTATTTTTACATTCAGAATGCTTTAAAAATTCCATTTACAAGACAATTGTTTATAATAAAATTATATTCAATCGATAGACTCATAACGATTGAAAACAATGTTTTTGTTTGAGTTTGGGTTTGACCAATTCGTAAAAAAAACACAAAAAAGCAAAAACGTAAAAAAAACTAATTAAGACATGCGTGTCCGTCAACCTTAAACAATAATCTTTAATCTTTGTCAATTTTATTTTTCAGTCTTTATGATGGTCGATACTTGATCTATCTCTTACTGTTGCATTCCCGGGCAACGCCGGGCTCAACTGCTAGTATTTAATTAAATTTTATTTACTTTGGTTGCATTTATGAAAATGCTTGTTGAGGAAATTTTCAAAAATTACCAATATATTGTTTTTAAATTAATTATACGTAGGTCTCTTATTTTCTGATAATGTCATGTATGGAGGTTCGTATTTTTAAAAGACTACATGTTTATACAAAGACACGCAAAATTCTTTTTTTTTAATACTAGGTGGGGTGGGGGTGGTTGAATTTTGATGCGCTTTTCACTTTATGTTTATTAGATAAAGTTTAATTTTAATTTAATAAAAATTTAATTTAATAGCAATATTACTTGGCCGTTAAAAATGTAAGCAGCATTTTAAAGATTTAAAAGTTTTTATATAATCTTAACAAAGGTTTTAAAAGATAAAACCAAACAATGTCCATAATGTATTTTATTCATAAAAGCAATTAAATGATTTTCTAATTGGAAATATATCTTAATTTTATTGCATTTTTCCTTTTATGATTCAGGGAATTTTTCTATAACTGGAAGTGCTGATGGCTAAAGTACATTGCGATTTTAATTCTCCTAGCCTTTGCCTTTATAACATCCATAAAGATTTTACGTTACAATAAAAGAAATACTCGTGATTTTGTAAAAATTAGACGAGGGGTAGTGTAACAGATTAAAAACTTATTTTAAAAAAGATTTTTCAAAAACAAGAAACATTTCAAAAATAATTTAATTCATATTAAAATCAGTTCTGAACGGTTTGCTGCAGGCGTGGCTACGCGTTGTGAGATAAACATGTGTAAATTCTTAAAGAATCACAGGGCACCTCAACGTGATGTAATGGTTAGCAAGCGTGTCTTTCCAGGTCAATCAACTGAGTAATGAGTTCGATCCTCACCGTATGCTCCACACTTTCGGCTTCGTACCACATCTAAGGTACGCTTAGAAAATCATTGGGTACTTTGACATAGTGAAATAATGTTTAGTAAGCTTGTCTCGACAATTCAATTACCACTGAATAGTGCGTTTGATTCTCACTGGGTGCCTCACACTTTGACGTAGTTTAATTTTAGGAGTATTGTTACGCTAGATCAATTATGGCTGAATAGTGAGTTCGATCCTTATTGGGATCTCCATAATTGTAGCATTTTGCCACATCTAAGCTAATCTTAGAAAATCCCTATAAATAATTAAAGGAAATAAACTGTTTGATCCATACATTGAAATCGACGGCAGTCCAACCTGGACTTATTGCTTGTCACACCGACCGATATTATTAGCGCCATTTTGATCTTCACACAATGCTTCTTAACTTCAGCTTTTTGCTAAAGTTAGGTTTGTTAAATAAATGCGATTTAGAGAGAAGACTAAAAGACCAGGTCAAGACAAAGAATTGGAATTCTTGGAGAAGAGAGGGCTGGAGGCATATTGACAATTACAAGAAACACACTCACTGTTTAGGAAGAAGAAAAAAATGGCTTGAAATGTTGGGGTTAAGCGTCTGTTGTTAAAATGGGGGCGGTAGTGGCAGTGGTCGTTTGAAAATAATACAACGTCAACACGTTCCCAAGAATTGCTAAATATAGCCTGTGGTGAGTGAAAAGCTTGGTAGAATAAAATAAATAAATAAGAAATAAATTTGGAAAAAAAAAAAAAAAAGCAAACGAAAATGGCGAACGACAGACGGACAGCTTTAAAATGCTTTCGACTCTCCTTGTTAGTCTAAGTGGACGGATCTAAAAGTGATAAACATGAAAAAAACAGACGACTACTTTTAGACTTCTGCATCAACTTCTCTCTTTCTCCCCTTTATCCACCCACCTCAGATTCCCTATCTTTCGCCCCCTTTCGTTCCTCTTCCTTCTTACCCACCAACTTGTGTTCGCTTTTCTTCCAGCTTACGCCGTATAATCACAGGCATTTTTTTTTTATTTTTTAAACGATTTATTCTCGCTCTGTTCTGTTCGGGTTTTATAGCTTACCATTTTTCCGCTTTTATGATTCCATTTGCTTTTATTCCTCTAAAGACAAATGAGTTCTCGACAGTAATTCAAACTTTTCGACTATAATCCGGGATTTCGTAGAAAACAATCGTTTAAGCCCGTCTTGCATTCTCTTATGTACTCTGATGTTTATAAAAAAATGGTACAAAGTTTCCAAGTTTTCGTTTGAGACCAAGAACATCTGAAATTTGAGCAAAATGGTCACAAAATGCAGAAACGAGAAAATGGTAAAAACATATCCTTATGGTGTCAGTTAAAACTGAGGCATTTTCTATTTATCTAAACTACTGTGAATTGCGTCGTACAAGTCGAGATTTCAATCCTAAAAATATCTTTCTAAAACTAGGCTTCGACTTATACGGCTGCATAAAATACAAACCATTACCACCGAATATATATCAAGCGGAACAGCACCCCTAAAAATAACTGTGCACCCCTTACAGTATCTCCAGCAAACTGCCACAAATATATCCCACTAAAACTTTTGTTTGGTAAAAAATATTTGACATATTAACAAGAAATAAATATAAAATAATAAAATAGTAACACACACTCAGTATTCTATTAACACAACCTCATAAATCGCGTCCAACCGCTAATACACTAAGTGTAAACACTGATCGAAGCGCCGTTCAGGTAACTAGGTCTGGTATGAGCGTCATATGTAATGGATAGCGGCTCAGATTGAGGAATCGAAGAGCCGAGTTCGAACTCCAGTCGGATCCATTACATTCACTTACGTGCTAATACTCTTGGGAAAGGTGTGAATGCTTTCCTTCTCCCTCCAACCTTGGGTAAATAGCAGGGAAGACTCGGTTCTATAGCCTTGGATGGCAACTAGTCTACCGCAGAAAGAAACGGCAACCTACTGCGGGAAAAAATCGCCTAAGCGTGTATCACGACTGACTGAATGATAGTTATATTTTATAGTATCTGATACACTAAATGGCGGCATGACAGACTGTTTTTTTTTTCATATCACGAATGTAAATAGCCGATGAGAGCTTTGTATGTTTTAAAGTAACATAAGATACGTAGCAGTACTATCGAAACACAACCTGGTGTGATGTGTAATCTGGGGTATTAATACTTTATCGGAGTTGATGTTGACTTTAATATGTTTATCACTAGATCTGATGAATTTGAAATGTTCGCTAAGTTATACTAATGCAATATACGTTACCTCCCGGTCTGTGTTGTAGGTTTTTTGTTATATAGAAAAATATTATGATTAGTGTCTCAGTATATATATATATATATATATATATATATATATATATATATATATATATATATATATAAGTGGTGTGACCTTATGTAGTTTGGGGACAGATTATTGTATACTGTAGCCTAACTTCCTTTTCCAGTTTTCCTAAGTTTTTGGACATTGCTAGCCTACCGTATATTATATTGGGTTTGTAGGTTGTTTGCTCTACAAGGCATATAGAAAGATATTACGGTTGGTGCCTCAATGTACAGGGAAGTCGTGTGTACCCTATGTAGTTTTGGTACTTGGCCCTTTGATTAACAATTCTGAGCTATCCGCACATCCAAGGTGACGACTCCTGGCATTCCCATGCAGTCACCCATCTAGATACTGACCCCGCTCGATGTTGCTTAACTTCAGTGATCGTATGGGAACCAGTGCTTAAACATGATACCAATATAAATTCAGTATTTTATTAAGTGGCAGCATCACTGTTTGTTTGTTTAATTACTAATGCGAATGGCGGAAAAGTGATTCGGTGATTTACAATAACATACAATACGTAGCAGTACTATGAAAACACAACCTGTTGTGATGTGTAATCTGGGGTATTAATATTTTATAGGAGTTGATGTTAACTTTAATTTGTTTATCAGTAGACTTGACGAATTTTAAATATTCGTTTAGTTATACCGATACAATATACGTTACCTACCTGTGCTTGTAGTAGTTTTTTTGTTATACAACGCATATAGAAAGTTAGTACTGTTAGTGTCTCAATATACAGGTAAAAATACGCGAGTTTTGCGAGTTGGACTTGCCAGTTTCTGTGTGTCGTATCTCGTTTATCATCTCTCAGTTGTGTGTTAGTCTTGGGACAAAACGTAACCCCAAATACTGAGAGGTGTCCAGTCCCGGCGAACATCTACTCCCGGCAGTACCTCCCTCATTGCACTACAGAGGGGGACGCTAGTAACACCGATGCAAGCACAAACGACGATTACAAGGTCTGGGTTATTTTTTGACCAAGCCCGGGTGCACGCACTCGGGATCCCCACATTAAACTGACCTCATGTCCTATTCTGCCAGCGTGAAGCGGCAAGTACATATTCATATCCAAAAACTGGTGTAATTTTATGAAGTTTTGGCACAGGCTATCGTACACTGTAGACTAACTTCATTTACTGATAGGGCTAAATTTTGGGCCACTGGTAACCTAACGTGTGTTTGGGGGTCGACCTATACGGAAGATATCGGCCCAACTTAGAATTTTGAGCTAGTAATCAACTTGTACACCAGGTCGACTTGTACGACGCAATTTACTCTCCAAAATTAAACTGCTCTCCATTCATCATCTGAGAGCAACTCTCTGATTTCCATCTACATGTCTGATGCTAATATTCAAGAATGTGACTCGTTGCGTCTTCTCGTGCTAACGTTCTTGGCTGACTATTGAATCCATTGCTAGGTCAGCTGCTAAGAAAGTTGCTTCACTCTATCGTGCGAGACATGTTTTTATCTCCAGAATCTTACATATCTATATCTACCATTCGTCCACGGATAGAATATTGCCCCACATATGGTCCGGTGCCCTTGCTATTTACCTTGAACATCTTGATAAAATTCAAACAAGAATCAGCAATATTATTGGTCCTGATCTGGCAGCTTGGTTTCAGTCACCGCCGTAAGGATGCGTCTCTGTGTCTTTTCTATGAATACTTTCATGATAATTGCTTGGATGAGCTCTTCTATATGGTAGATGTTTTTTTTTTTTTTATTATTTAAGCGCAATATTAGACTGGTGACGAGGTCTCATCAATTTATACTTGAGCTGGCAAGATGTAGCCGTAAATTCTTCTTTTCTGGTACTTCTCGCAGTTCTCGGACATTTGGCCGACGGACATTTATCCGAATTAACATTTATCCGAAAATGTAGTGGTGTACTTAAATGTATATCACACTCTTTCTCGTAATGAACTACATATACTTATATTTATTTACTGTATTGATTTATAATTTGTTGTTTTCTTTGACATGCTTTTTTAAAATCTCTTCTGTGTATATTATATTTTACTTCAAATATTACTGTAAGATAAGTATTTTGAGAAAAAGCACATCTTACTACAGCAAAAATCTTAAGATTTTACGATATGAAAGATCTTCAAATTTCCCTTTTAATGATCATTATCTTAAAGGGATGAACTAGCTTTTATTTTACTGTTAAATACGAATTTAAATAATTAAGTGCTACTTTTTACCCAAATATATTCAAATATTTTTAAAAATACTAATTTCAATAAACAAATATTGAAATAAGAAAACTTATAACTTTAGATTTAGTAATTTAATTACTTGAAATACAGTAGTAAGTATTAGTCCTATTCTATCGTATATTACTGTTAACTAAAATACTTAAAAGTGAAAATTTAACTGAAATATGTTGGAATATACATAGTATGGAATATAATTAAACAAAATGATTAAAAAAAAAACTGTCTCAATTTAAAAACACATGCGCCTGTGGTCGTTTATACTGAGACGTTCGGCTTTTCTTTTTAGTTTTTTTCAAATTATCTAAGCTATATTTACAAAATATTATCTTGGAAAATGAAAAGTATAATTGAAAATTTGTAAGTTTTTTATCTGACAAGATTAAAATATGAACTGTAGGACAAATTATCAAAATTTATAGCAAAATAAAGAATTATATTTGTCCATATCATGGCGTCTATTTAAAATGACGCCTTCTTTTTCTCAATTGATTTATACAGAAATTGCGCTGTATCCAATATAATTATTAATGACATACTAGAACATGACTAACAAGCAGACTCACGTTACATCCATCTGACGATAGCTTCATTAGGTTCCTTTAAATATGCATGAAGGCCTAGCAAACTCCATCCACGACATACTCGTTGATAATACAAATGAACTAGCTTCATCCACCCGTAAAAAAATAAGCTAAAAATAATAGAAGCCTTATTAATAAAAAAGAAAAAGTCAACACTCAGTAACATTACCAATGAACATGGCCACAATGAGCTGACGTATTTGGTTTCATTTGATTTGGTTTGTTTTGTTTTACGATATATCAACCTCAATGGGTTATTTAAGGCCGACAACATTTTTATTGCTGGTAATATTATCTATCTATCTATCTATCTATCTATCTATCTATCTATCTATCTATCTCAGTATATATTAGTTTGGTTTGTTTTGTTTTACGGTATGTCAACCTCAATGGGTTATTTAATGCTGACAACATTTTTATTGCTGGTAATATTTTTATCTATCTATCTATCTATCTATCTATCTATCTATCTATCTATCTATCTATCTCAGTATATATTGGTTTTGTTTTGTTTTGTTTTACGGCATATCAACCTCAATCGGTTATTTAATGACGACAAGATTTTTATTTCTCGTAATATTTTCTTTTCGAAAATGTATTGTTGGGAATATTTTTTTCCTTAAAATATATTGCTTGCAAAACGTATTTTTTAATGTATTGCTGGTAATATTTTTCAAAAATCTATTACTGGAAATAATATATTGCTGGCAATAATGTTTTTCTTCAAAAATTCATTGTTGGTATTTTTTTTACAAAACAATATTTCTGCTATTAAAACTTATTTTTACACTTTCATAGTGTTTTGACTAAGTTTGATAAACTATTTGCCCATACTTGGGGACCGTAACAAGGTCTACCAACCCGGGTCAGGGTGGACCTGGGAATAACAGCAATTAAGAGGTGGTTCCACGCTCCTGAAAACCCGATTTTACCCCTTGCAGTTTGATGTAGTTTATTGATATAACCAGGACGGCGTAGTTTATCGTCTTATCCAGAACGCGTTTAAAATGGCGCCTTCTTTGTTTCAGTTGATTTTTCTGTTTTAACGTCATATAAATCGTATTTATTTTTAAATGGCAAAAAGAATTTTATTAATATATGGCTTGTAAACAATCCTTTGGGTTGCTGGTTCAGCGCCTTTCGAACGTCGATATTTCGTATACTATTTACATTAGTCGGTCTAGTGTCCTCATCTTTGACGCCATATTTATTACAACGCTTAACGCCGTTGTACGCTTTAATTTTTCTTCAGGTGGTTGAAAAAAAAAAAAAAAATGGGGTAGACTGTTTCTAGTTCCACGTGTCTTTGTTTAATGGTTGTTCAGTTATCAAACTATCTCCTCTTAATTCCCTTTCTCCAAGTTCTCCATTTTTTTACAAGTGACCCAACACAAACACGGATGTCCTTTAATTAACATGGCACGGTGGATAAAGGCGTTGGTTAGATCCAGTGACAATTCAAAGAGTATGAGTTCAATACTCGGTTAAGGCAGTGCAGAACTTGGAGAGAGGAATGGTGTTGAATAAATATTCTACATTCAACACCATCACAATAAGACACCAGAAATGTGGGAAACAAAATGGCTTTTTTGTAGTGATTTTATAAATTTTTATGTTATAATTTTCGAATAAATAATTATATTTGTTTTAGTATTGAGCATTCTTTTAAGAAAAGTATTTTTGATTTTGAATTTATTCCAATAACCAACACCAATCCTATAATTGGTATATTGCTACATTATTTATTCTTGCCTATCTCACACTGCGGATTTTTTCTATGCTTCTATACTAAACATTAAATCTGTTACGAAAAAAGAACTAAACAAAATGAACACAAAAATCAGCTTTAAAAAAGGACTCGTAACTGGAAAAACCGAATGAAAAAAGAATGTTAACAACAAATACTTTTTATTACCCAACCCAGTTCAGTGGAATCAGAATCAACGTTGAGTTTAAGCAATATAATGAGCCAATTGGAGTAATGTGTCATGCAGATTTAAATTTTTCCCACTTTTTTTTTCCGCAGCTATCGATTTTTTTTTTTGCTAGCATGCTAGTTAATATTCGTGTTAGTCAGCTGTTGGCTTATGCTGGCCAATAGAATCTTCCTGCCTATTCGTGGCAGCCAGCTATTGGCTCTCACTTTGGCCAGTACAAAATGGCCGCAAACTACATGAAAACTGCCGTAGAAGCATGAAAAAATCGATTATTTCCACTATCGATGGGAGTTGGGAAATGCCATGTAGGTGTTGGCCTTCCCTTCTAACTTGGAGCATATGCAAAGTAAATTTTGTTGCAAATCCGTCGAAAATTCTATTGTGCATTCGTTACACCCCCCACACACATTTTTCTGCCTTTTATATATATATATATATATATATATATATATATATATATATATATATATATATATATATGAAGAAATATAGTTTTTGATATTTTTATATATTTTGGGATAAATGATCAATATTTTTATAGAGCGTTTGTAAATATAAATTTAAAAGTGAACATTTCTTGAAAAACTCAGAGGCCTAGGTTGTTTCATTCTAGACGCAAAAGTCAGGCTCACGATTGCCTCGAGCGAAACAGCC